TCTTTCTTTCTTTCTTTCTTTCTTTCTTTCTTTCTTTCTACTAATCCTCATTAAAAAAAAAAATTAAACCAAAGAATCTGATTATGTTGAACATTTAGAGCAATGTTTCACTCATCTATATGTCAGCTTTCATAGTACTGTGGTCACTCATCCAAGTGATTCTACAACCATTATATCCATAAGCTACTCCTGGCCACAACTCAGTAGTAAATTGTTGTGTGTCATCTTGTCAACAAAACAATACTTCAACTGGTTATAACTACTTTTCCCCCCTTGAATTACATAAATGGGGTCCAATGATCTAAATGTATATTCAGTCAATGTGAGTTCAACTGAAGTCACCCATAATCACATTTTGGTTACTTCCAGATATGGTACTACAAATCCACTTTAATATGGATTTTGATTCAGAGAATGATGGCATGTCTCCAGGACTATATATCTATAACATTCAGTTAGTGTGATTCTGTCAGTGAATGTGTTCTTCCTGTCATTTCGGTTTATTAAATTCAGTAGTCTCTTTGAGACACAGAACAACATGGCAGCAAATTACCATTTATTATCAATAACATAAATGCCTACACTTGGAAGAAGATATTTGCCAAACTATAATCAGATATAGTTACTCAGTCTTGTTAATGGCTCTTTGCTTTCTTTCTTTCCCCCCTTTTTCTTTTCTTTTTAAAAGGTCTCTATGTAACAGGTTTATTATCAGCATTATTTTTCTTCCAAGCTACTGTAGTTAATTATTATCAGTGAATGCTTCAAATTTCCCTGCCTTAAGTGCATATGATAAAGACGTTATGATAACACTGACAGAGATAATAATGTACAATTCTCTCTAAATACAGATTTATGAGATGAAGTGGACTGATAGGAGAACCATTATTTGACTGGAATTTCCTCGATTACAGTTATCAGGTTGCCCCAACATTTTCTGCATCCTGCTACTTCAATAATGTTATTACAATACTGAATAGGAGTTCTAGTACAATCTTTGGTGCCATCTGCAGTATGTTGTCTGGAATTTCAAACTTTTATTAAAACTGCTGCAAATAAAACCCCATTGATTAAATGTTCTTTGTTTGTGTGTGTTTTTTTTAATTTATCTGTTTCATTTATCTCCCACCAAAGGCAACTAGCAAAAATGTTGAAACAAACAAAAGTCTAACAATTTCAATTCCGGAATCTACTTTCCTATTTCCTAACAATACTTCCATCTTGGCTGGAACTTCCAGAAGCAGCTCTTGAAACAGACACACAAGCCTTGCAAATGACATGCTGGTATAATAAACTGGAAAAGTAGTGCTCCATAAGTGGCTTCGTGTGTTAAAAAAACACACCATCATTTTGTGGCCATTATGATTTGTTATAGATGCTACTGCTTGTGGGAAACTAGGTATCAAACTAGCCCCCAGCACCACTTTCTGAATGTGGCCAAATAGAAAGGAACAGAAGCACTCCCAAAAAGTGCTCCCAGATCCTATCCCACCCAGATATTTCAAAAGAAGACCGAGTTGGTGTTGAAGCCTGCTGAGTGTTCCTGGAAAACTAGCAGGGTACATTGTTCTGTATTTTTAATTGGTACTGTGAGTAATGTGTTGCTTCTGATTGGAAACTGGAAAGCCAAAGGGGGAAATATTAGGGAGGAAAACATAGTTGTATTGCATAACCTAGGAAAGTGAAATGAAGCAGGGGAATGACTTACACATTTCTGCCAATCCCATTATTTCTATATTGCTAACCCAGTTTCTCAACAATCAAAATGATGGATTACACAATACACAAAAATCAAATTGAGTATATTATTGGTACAAGGAAATGGAAGAGCTCAATTGTAACAGCAAAGACATAGGCAGGGGCTGACTGTAGAGCAAATTGTAAACTACTCGTATGCAAGTTCCAAGTTAAGCTAAAATGGAAGAAGAAAGCCAACCAGTTTCCATGATATGATATTGAGCACATATATATCATTTTCAAGGAGAACATCAGGAATAGCTTTGAAGTTCTAAACCTCATTGATAGGGAACCAGGGGAACTGTGGAATGAAATCAAAAAAGTTATTAGGATGAATGTGAAAACAAATTGCCAAAGATGAACAGAATAAAGCTAACTGGATGTCAGAACAAGTTACAGAAAATGTTGGGAAGGGAAGTTAAAGTCAAGAAAGACAAAGATCTCAGAAAGAATTTAACTAAGACTTTCAGGATGCTGTTAGAAGAGTCAAGAAACAGTATTATAACAACATCTCTAAAGACATCAAAGATGGAAACAGACACAGAAAAACAAGGGTTTTTCTAAAAGATCTCCAAAGTCAGAAGGAAGTTCCAACCTTCACTTGATTGCTAAAGGGTATCAATGGACAGATAATAACTACTCCAAGAACATAAACAAAGATGGAAGGAATATACTGAAATTCTGTACAGTAGAAATATCAACATCCAAGATACTTTAGAAGATATTCCCTATTTAGAAGAATTTCTACTACCAGAAGATGAACTTAGATCAGCACTCTGGTCATTACCAAGACTACAAGAACTGATGGAAAAATTACAGAAATATGGCAAGTGACAAAAGAAAAATCTGAAAAGGTTCTAACAAAGCTATGTCCTTAAATTTATTTTAATAAATTTAATAAATTTATAATAATATATAAATAATATAATAATAATTATATAAATTAAATAATTTATTTATTAATTACATAAATAAATAAATAAATAAAAATATAAATAAATATGTCCTTAAATATAGGAAATCACACATTGGCCAACAGATTGGAAAAGATCAGTCTATATGGTCCTTGCCCACCACAAGGTCCAAGTGATATGAGGTTTCCCAAGGTCTATCTCACATCATTTGGACCTCCCAGTGGGCAAGGACCATGGTATGTATGATTTCTAAAAGGGTGCAAGATAGGAAAAAACAAAGTACAAGTGGTCAGAAGGACATGATCACAATTCACTTCACATGATTGTTAATAACTAACTCATGTGCAAAAAATAAGTACAAATGCTCAGAAAGATAAAGTCTAATTGGTGTGAAAAAAATTCAGGTGCCAATAGAGGTAAGTACACATTTCTCTTTTGAATTAGCTGTTAGTCATTATTCATCTGAGCACAGTTTGCTATGGACTAGTCATAGAAAATTCCTCTAACTCCTTCATTGCTACAGAAATATTCCACTTGTATTGCGGCTTTTGCCTGCAACATGGGATTATTGGGAATGAAGCTGGGAAAAACAATGTGTTGTGGGCAAAGAAAAAGCAGGGGACCCCACTTCTATTATTTATGGAATTCATCTCAGATTTCCAGAAAATTGCAAGAAGTTTGGATTTGGAGACATTGTGTGTGAGCATTCTGGAAGCATGGCTTGTGTACACAGCTTCAATTCTTCCACAGATTCATTTTAAAAGCCTATCTTCAAAGCATCTTCAAATCATATACTTATTTTGCCTATACAAAATATATGCATTGCAATGTATGAATTCTGCCTGTGATTTTGTGCTTTGAGAAAGGTGGCCCCACTTTCCATTAAAATATACTGCTCTGTCCATACTGGATCATCCCAAAGCAAAACATGTAAATCAGTTCAAAATCTGTATTACCATACCTTTATTAGGTCAAACCAAAGGTCGCAAAACATTTGCAAGCTTTTGAGATCTCAGAACTCTTCATCAAACAAGGGGATTCGAAAAAGGCAGAGAACACGGAAAGGGAAGGGGGAAAACCTCTACCTCGTTGATAAGCATACCTAACACGCAGCCTTCCACGCCTGCTCAGATTTCTTCTCTGCTTCTGGTTTGGAATTATTTCCCCTACTTCTCTAGATTGCTTGTTATTGCTTCTCCCCTCCCCACACCCTGTAGCGGATCATGACGTCTGTTGCTATTGCCTTTTTCTACGCTTAGGATCCCATTCATATACTGCAAAGAGTTCGCTTTTGTTTGATGCAGTTCAGAATTCACTTTCTCTCTTAGCTGGAAACTGCACGTGACCCTCCAGAGGCATGCCAGGAGCCACATTCCAAAGCATATTTGGTGGGGCCGGAATGAAAACTAAAATTACTTTTAAATGTGATTAGAATTAAGTTAAGTTATTTTCCGGTCGTATCTCTACTACTTTCCTCCTGCTATCCCGTTTGCAAAACAGCTTGATTTGGAGGCCGGGTTTGCTAAACTGCCTAATAGAATCGCCCACGCGGAGGTAACGTCACACCATACGACAACCCGCCTCTTACATTCGGCCCTAGGTTTGGGAAAGCGAAAGGCGAAGGTCGCGTGGCAGGCTGGGAGGAGTAGTTCGCCGGTCTGGTTCGGACTGCAGGCAGGCTGTCTTTTTCTCAGGCACTGCGTGGGGCAGCTAATCGCAGCGCCGCGAAGGGTCTTTCTTATTCCTTGCGTCGCACTGCGCAGCTACGAGCCTGTCTGGCTTCTCGGGCGGGTTTCACTATCTTTGCTGCTGTTGCTGCTGCTGCCGCCGCCGCCGTCGCCCGAGGCTTGTAACGGGCAACGGATGGGCCGCTTGGGCTGCATTGGAAATCATGATGCCCGGGGAGACCCCGCCGGCGGCCAACACAGCGGCGATCGCGGTGGAGGCGGCCACGGCCTGCGCCAACTGCGGGGCCCTTCAGCAGGTTAGAGATCTTGCTCTGATTCTGCCCCTTGTAGCCCGTCGTGCTGGAGGTGTATTTAGCGGGAATAGCGGTCCTGTCTTATGACGGTCGTATTGAATGACCGGCAGCATTTTAGGGACGGAATGAAGTGCGCAGGAAGCAAATTGATCTAGCGAGTGGTTCGATCGACTTTCTTGGGCTCTCCTGAAGTTCTCAAGCATCTTTGCATCCTCCAGCACGGGGATGAGCTGTCCACTTTGTATTGAGCTTAAAAAGAAGACGATTCTGATTGTTTTCTGATGTCGAGGATACACTGATATTGGATTGCTGGTGTATTTTGTTGGATTGCTAGTGTAATTTTGGGGCGGGGGGTAGTTGTCCTTGTTGGATTGCTGGTGTAATTGTTTAAGTTGCCTGAAAACATCATTCGTCTTTAAAGCAACACGAATCCATTTGGTGAAAGCTTTATATCCTCACGGTCAAAACCATTAGCCTAATTTTGGATATGTCTATTTATTTATTTATAAATAAAATTTATATGCTGCCCATCTCTCTATGAGTGACTCTAGGCAGCTCGCAAGTACTTACTTAGAAGGAAGCCTTACTGAATTCGCTGAGTTTAACTCTTTAAGTTTGCACATATTCACTATTGTCCTAGTATATTGTAGTTTTTGCCAGTTGAGAAGAGAGAAATTAAAAAAAGAAGCTTCCAACTGTTAATGCATTATTCAGTCTTAGAGCCAGAATGCATACTTCAGCATTGTGGTATAAGATTAAGATCTGAAGCCACCCCAGAAAAAAAGTATGTGTAATGTAACCAAGGAATACTGTATTTAAACTGCTTTTTTCAGTATGACTTTTTTATGCTTACTTGAGAATAAGCCCCCTTGCATATTTCCATCCAACATATCTAAATGAGGGTATATAATAGCCAATTTTTATATTACTATCTTAAACTTTTACTCATTAACTTATTCCTACTGCTTTTAGTAAACAAAGTATCCTTATGGAGTCCTTGAGGTTCTCTGAGCTTGGTTGTTTTCTTGCAAATGTTTCATTACCCAGCTCAGAGAACCCCTAGGACTCCACAGTTCAATCCTGAGCTACATATATTCTCTTATATTGGTAATGTATCCTTAAAATACTAGAACTCTTTTTTTCAAATCACATTGGTGTCCAGATGATGAGGTTGGATTCTGTCATGAAGATGTTTCATGAATTCTGTTGATGAATGAATTCTGTTCCAGAAACTAAAGAAAAGTAAGCTGCTTCATATTCCTAAAGTGTTTTTACCAATAGAGGTGAATATGTGTAGCTCAAGGTTGAACTGTGAAGTTCTTGGGGTTCACTGAGCTTGGTTTTTCCACCTTAAAAGCTTTCATAATATCCAGACTATCATCTCTTAATTATATATTCTTCTTTTTGTACATGTATTTACTTTGATGTCTGTTTCTGACCAATAAATTGTGTTTAGAAGTTTAGAGGTTTAGAAGTAAACCTCTGAGGAATAATTCCTTTATACTTTTTCATTGTACTTTTCATTCTTCTTACCTTCTGTCTTTGATTTTCTTTAACTTTTCCATGTCATCATAATGTTCTTTCTGAACATTATTATTATTATTAGCTTGCTTGTAGTGCAATTTATTTATTAGTTTTCTTCATCCTTAACCCTTCAAGTGAATCTCTATGACTCAGCAGAAGGGTTACCAGATGTCTGAAAGGCCAAGGAGGACATGGATTGGAAAGAAGGACAAATGGGGGGAAGGAGGATACACTAACTCTTTAACTTTCTTGGCATCTGCAAAAAAAAATTACAGTGGAAACTGCAAAAAATGTACTTAGGCTTACATGTATATGAAATTATTTTTTCTAGTATCAGACTGTTTTTTTTAATTGCAGTATTTTCCAACAAATCTTTATTTTCAAGAACATAATGCTAGTGATAATATAGGACTGATGATGATATGCTTTTCAAATTTCACCATAGAAACCTATGACAGGTCATGTGATCCACAAACTACAGTGATCATAGATTTGAAGGGGCTGGATTGAAGCCAGTTGATGGAATTGGGGAATAAATAACACAAATCTAGGCTGCCAAGTCTGTTGACAGATGAAAGAAAGAAAGAAAGAAGCAGACAGTTTACAAGGCCACAATACACAAAGGTTTGAATGACTACTGTTGTGAAAACAATCCTCCCTCCAAAAAAAAAAAAAAGACACTCCAAAAGCTGGACAGTATTTGATTTTAAGGCTATTCCTGCCAGACAGAGGACATGAGGACAAGGAGGACATGTCCACCTTTTGCCAGATGTCTGGTAACCCTGTTCTTACCCAAATATTTTCAGTATTCTGTCTTTCATACTGGCTGTGTTTGCACAACACAATCACAAGCAAACCAACCATATTTCAGCCCAGCATGTTATGTAAATCTAATCTGTGTGATTTGTTTACAGTTCAGTGTGTCATACAAACCTAAAATTTGATTACTTGTATAAACCATGGTTTCTTTAAGTACAGATAACCATGTTGTAGAAACACAACCATTGTGCTTGCATTATTTGATCTGAATTTTTGAATAGTGGAGCTATGATCACATTTCTTGTAGGGAAACTTGGAAAATTATTAATTTAGGTAGTACCAGGAATGTAATACAGACTACCTAGAGTGTGAATAGGTAATTTATGGACTTGAGACCAGAGATATTTCTTTATTAATAAATTAATCTAGAAAATTTTTCAATATAGATACTTGTTTCTGTTTCTTATTGCTGAGGGAATCTTTAACACTGGAGAAAGAAATCTCACCCAAACTTACTTACCCCTCCCTCTTCCTTCCTTCCTTCCTTCCTTCCTTTCTTTCTTTCTTTCTTTCTTTCTTTCTTTCTTTCTTTCTTTCTGTTTTGGTGGACAATCCCAGGAATCTCTTATTCTTACATAAGGATTTAATCAGTATATTGTGGTCCATAGGCTGATTTAAATCTGTGTGGTCTTTGACCTTTACTAAAGTGCTTGTTATTTACTCATGCTATATTTACAGAGCAGGAGTGCATATTCAGCTTTTCATAATGGTCAAGGCATCATTAGTCTGCTTTCCAAGATATAAAATGTTTATTTTTGTCAAAGAGAACAAGATGTTTCAGCAATAATCTAACAAAATTCCACTTACTCTAACATTCCTTGAAAGTAGTCTGTAGAAACTGTAGCCATGCATCTGCTATGTCTCTACTTCGATAATTTTTCACATGGTTATTGCATGCCAATCTGATGCTTGATGAATAGAAAGAAAATACAGAAATTAATACCATTGAAAGTAGTTTTGTGTGAAGTAATATTGGATGACACAAGTATTCTGTTTGTGATGCCTCATTCACCCAAGCGCATTCTGTCTTATTATTCAAAAATATTTGGGTCAGTTTGCCAGATAAGCTGAACCAATTGTGTTTACAGTAGCATTGCACATAATTCTTTAAGAAGTGACAAATCCACTAAATATTAAATAGCTTATTCTGCTCACATAAGCCTAGGCTAAACAAGTCATAAAAGGGAGCAGGGCACTTGCTAACAATTTCAGTAAAGCTTTCTGTTTAGGGGCAGTTCTTCCTTGTTACAACCAAGTTTAAACTGGCTGTTTAGCAGCCAGTGAAATCCAAGTGTTGAACTTGATTTGTACTAGAATCCGCATCTATGATTCTTGGAATCTGAGAAATAGACATCCGGAGTAGGCAGCTCTCTGAGCTTTCTCTGTTGATTCTGGTGTTTGGATTTACGTCAAAACGTTGTGTTAGGTGGACCTAAACCACATGAGCTCCTGTTGACAAGTTGAATTCTGATTCGCCACCCCAGTAAGCTTTAATAGGCTTTCTGAGTATATGTCAGTGTACTGCTTGCACCTTCTCATTGGTGGGGTATAGGAAACAATATGATGGCTTCCAAAGTAATCCTTAGATTAGAGATCTTAGCTTGTATAGAAGCATGCTTGTGGTAAAAGTGGTATTTGGTTATGTTTGTGGAATATGGGCCCGAATGTACCAAATCTGACTGGTATTGCCCTTATCATTAGTAGGGTATACTATTTTGACTGGTAATCTAATCTACAGTTTCTCTGTATTAGAAAAAAGCATTAAGTAAAAGTTGTTCAGAGCAATGATGGACAATAAATTTTGATATCTGTGGGCCTTTCTGATAATCACCATGGCAACATGAAAGACTGCAACTTGGAATATCATGAGTTAAGAACAGGAATTAATGAGAAAGTGAACAAAAGTAAAATAGATAAGCTGTATATCTGTGATATTTAGAGAAGGATGCAGTAGAGCTGAATAAAGGTAGTCTAATCTTATAGAGTTGAATACATCTAAGGAAGTGAAGCTGTAAGTTTAATTATGAAAGGACTAAATGTCAGAAGATATGAATTGTTGTGGGTTCATATGAAAGGAGAAATCCATAAGATGGCAGTGGTTTCATGTTATGCTGCAGTGAATGGTGATAATGGAAGAGATGAGTCTGGGGGGAAATTATGCAACATTGTAAATGAATGTGATCCTGGGAAAAGTTATTTTGCTGTGTGACACAAATAGATGGGTGGGAACAAAGCAAAATGTACCCAAAAGAAAAAGTGATTGGGCCATTTGGAGAAAAAAGAATGAATGAGAATGTGACTGGCAAGTATTTGCTTAGAAAAAGGCCTGTTTGTTTTGAATATGTGGTATAAGCATAAATCTATTTATAGATTGATATGTGTTTATTTATTTATTATTATTTATTCTTTCTTTCCAGGATTTACATCCTGCCCCAATCACTAGATTCTGGACGCTTCACAATCGTAAAAAAAATAAATAAAACAAATAACCCCATACAATTAAAAAAATCAATTTCAGGTATCTAATTAAAATAGAACTAAATCCAAGAATAAAATTCCCCAAACCATAAGGTTAAGGAAACCCACTTGTTCCCTAAATGTCTGGCAAAACAAAATAATTTTTATCTTCCTCCTGAAAATAGACAGCGTAGGAGCCATCTTGGCTTTTGATAGTAGGTTTAACATAATGACAGGGCAGTGACACAAAAGGCCTGTCTCATAACTCTTATTCTTTTTACCAGTTGCGGGGAGGGGAACTAATGCTTACCCCTTAGATTATATACAGAGAATGGGAGATTGAACCCTACCAGCACTAACAGCAAATCAAATGTAGGTTTGAAATCCTACATCAAACCTGAAATTCTTTTTTTTTTTATTGTGGCTTTTATGCTACTCCAATCAAAAATAATTTTGAGCCATTTCAGTGAGATCTAGAAACTCAGGAACTGATCATCCTGGACAGTAGGGTCGACAATACATCAGCAGAATCCTCAACTTGTCTGCACAACCCAGTTTCAAATAAAGTTATTGACATCCAGTCATGTTAAGAACAGAGCACCTGATAATCATCAGGATCTCCCATGGTACTGTAAGCCCCACTATCCCACCTTTTAGTTGAAGTTGCTAAGGTACCAAAACTGAGACAGATGTCAACTATGGCACATCTTTATCCTTGCCCAACCGGTTCTCAATTACAGTAGATGAAGGAAGAATCAATGAATCAAGAAGAAGCCCAAGAAAGTTGTGGTGCTATAGGATGATAGCTTCAGAAAAAGAGAGCTCACATTTGCTTATAATTATTCACAACTTCATTCACAATTCTCCATTTTTCGGTTTGGTTTATGTTACTTTTCTAATATAATCTTATACAGGTAGTCCTCCCTTAATGACCATTCATTTAGCAACTGTTCAAAGTTAGAATGATGCTGAACAAAGGGACTTACAACCGGTCCTCACACTTACAACCATTGCAGCACCCCTGCAGCCACATGTTTGTGATCCAGGCACTTGGCAACCAGCTCGCACTTATGACAGTTGCAGCATACTGGGGTCACATGATTGCCATTTGCAACCTTCCCAGCCAGCTTCTGGCAAGCAAAATCATTGGGGAACTGTGTGATTTGCTTAACGACCACATGATTCGCTTAATGACCATTGCAAAAAAGGTCATAAAATCAGGCACAACTTGCTTAACAACCGCCCTGCTTAACAATGAATTTTTCTGTCCCTATTGTGATCATTAAGCAAGGACTATCTGTACATCTTATCTATAATGGCGTTATCTTCCTAGCTTCTTTTAAAAAAATTACCACAGCAGATTAAAATTTATTAAAATATCTCCTGTTTAAGGAGTGCTTCTATCCAATCTCTATTTTGATGAAAAGATATTTTTATGGCTGTGCAAGCTTTGACAATGATTTGGAGAAGCGGTTCAGAACTTGTGCAAGTGCTGTACTTCTTTGCTGTTGTTTAAAGCAGCCCATCTGAAAAAAGATTGTACGGGTCCAAAGCACTTCCTCTAAATCATTTTCAAAGTGTGCACAGCTCTAATAAATATTCTTAATAATTTATCACCTTTTTTTTTTGCAGAATTTGAATGAATATGTCGCTGCCTTAATTGCATTAAAACAAAAAATAATGGATGCTGAGTAAGTACCTTTTCATCTATTTTTACAAGCATTTATTTATTTTTGTAGTCCTAAACCATTCCCTGGATATAATTAGGGACTAGATGGTAGGCTAGGAATCTGTGACCTGATGCAGGTAAAATAGGCATAATGAGCAGAAGCAGTCTAACATGGAATACAATCCATTCAGGTTGTGATAAAACATTTTGGGACATAACATTGATACATTTTGGGAGTTCTGCTGTGTCCAGCACTACTCTGGAAGATGGTGTGGCAAGGATGTCAAGAACTGCCCTTGCCTGCTACGCTTTGCTAGTATGACGACAATGTTTTTCACATGGAATATATGTGACTATCCTTGAAAAATGTGTAGAAACATTTTCACAGGAATACACTTTAGAAATCATTTTATACCAACCACTAATTAATTTGCACTAACATCATTCTCTTCCAAGCACAACTGATGGTGCTGGTTTTCACCTCCCAAGGCCTAAAACATAGATAGGCAACTTTTTGTTGGCCATGGGCTACAACTCACTTCTATAGTTATAACATTACAAAATGTCTTTGGTGACAAGATGACATTGTTAGAAAGGATGGAGCAATTATTTTGGGCACATTTGGCCAGATGGGTGGGTTTAAAGGTTGGAATGGGAGCAAGACCTCCCTCCAATCCCCATCCTTACTTGGAGGAGAACCCAAGAAATTGCACTGTCAAATGCCAGCCATTTTCCTGCCAAATGTTTGTAGTATAATCTCAGACATTGGGGAACTGCATATGAGCCATGGATTGCCCATGGATGGGACTGGGGGTGTAGAGGACCACTTCTTTGCCTCCCAGTGTAGTCTAGCATCATGGGATCTTTATGGAGAGGGCAAGGGACAATAAAATGACAAAACATGCATCGTGACGCAAATGTTGCAATGTATGTATTTGTATCCAACATTGGGATGCAAGTATGTAAGAGTGGCATGTGCATCATGACATCACTGCATGTATGTTGTCGTTTTAATTTTATTGGAACGTGCTATGGACACCGGAATCTAGCATTTCAATTTTGAACTGAAAAATATCAGTAGTTCTTGCTGATTAATGTGTTGGAAATGACAAGGGATGGCTAAAGATCCAATGTGTTAAGCATGGGGAATCTTTGCCAGTGGTCTTCTTCCCTGTGCCCAAGCCCATCTAAGGCTATTAATGCTCAGGCCTGGAAAAGGGGAGGTGGTGGAATCTTTGTTGAAGTTATGTGCAAGACTTTTGCCAATCATATTGGGAGGAGTGGGAGATTAGTATTGGGAAATAAAAGGTGAGCATTTCCCTTTTCAGTGCTCTCTTCCTTAATTAAAATTGCCACTTTTATGGCAATTCAGCCATGCCAATAATGTCTGTTTAAAGATTTCATTCATCCATCCATCCATCCATCCATCCATCCATCCATCCATCCATCATATTTATATAGCTGCCCATCTCACAAAACATGACTCTTGGCAGCGTGCAATAAAAAATAAAAAACAGTAATATAAAAACAATTAAAAATATTAATATTATGATTAAAAGGC